CGAGTATAACGCTCTAATCACTGAGCCACAGCTATGATTTCTTGAAAGTTAAAAATTACTTCTCTTAAGTTTAAATGACATTTTAGGTTTTAAAAAAAGTTTGGTTTTTTGAACAATATTGGTATTAACTTGACAAATCTGAAAAGACCAAACTTGACTTCAATTTAACACTTTCAAAAAAATATCACAGAATAAATAAACATAATCAGAAATGTTTTAACTGTTAACATTAATTTACTAGTGTAATTTTATATAACATAGGATAGCAGACTTAATAAAGGTGCATGAAAGGAAAACATGCAAGGTCTAACTACATTTACAATGCGCCTTTGGACCTTGTCTAAAAGAGAAAAATTATCATTAGAAGAGTTAGCCCAAATATGAAAACAGTATTATATTCAAAAATGAATAAGAGATTCGTAGAAGTAGAAAATGAAATCAGAAGAAAATGGTAACCATGATAAAGAGAAGCAACCTAACAGATGCTAACTTTGTAATGAATTGTATGGTTTCCAAGAAAGGTCAGTAGTGACTGTAGTTTCCATGGTTTCCGTGAAAGGTCAGTAGTGAATGGTAGATGTAAAGAAGAGGACTCAATGGAGGTTTGACACTCATTAATATAGAAAATTAACATAAATATTTTGTTTGTTTTTTAGCTATGTAATTTATTCATGCAGTCTTTTAGAAACCCACAGCTTCCATAAATGCCTAAAAAACCAGTATGCTGTTGCCAGAGATTTTACTAAAGAAAACAAATCTGGCTTAATTGCTCTCTGGTTTGTTCCAATTGTATAAATACAAGCAACTTAAGTTGTTGAGGACGCTCCTTAGCTGAGGTAAAAATAACTTATTTATCTACAATAAAATCTAGTATAGAAAATGCTTGTAAACCTTAAACTGCACTTTTTTAGTAGCAGTATTACAATAAAAGTTAAAAAAACGTCACATTATTAAATAAATTTTTAGTGTGCAATCACTGCCCAAAACTGCAATGCCTTATTTGGCATTGTAGCAATAAAATTTATCACATGATATTTGTCTGCTAATTCACTTTTAACTTTAGAGTAAATGAAAAGTAATAAATCATTTGGACAAAATTAAAATGTAAACCAAGAAAACTACATCAAAGTTTTGAAACTGCTGAAACTTTGTGCAAACAAAACAACTTTAGATTTTAATATTTTTCTGCAGAAGGTATTAAAATGCACAAAATTTGGGTTAATATTGAAGATTTAAATGACTTTTTTTTTGCAAATTTAAAACAAATTATAACCTTAATTACAAAATCCAAGTTGCACAACTTACTAAATAATTTAACAAAAACTACTGTTAACCAACAGCTTTTTTTCTGTTTTCACATTGGCCAATTAGTTCTCAATAGTAAACACTAAGTGTACTACTAAGTTAAATTATATATATTCAAGCAAAATATAATATAAATATAATATGACAAAAAAAGTATACATTGTTAAACATTCAATTATTAGTTAACAACAAATTTAGATAACAAAAACTATAGTCCTTCACCTCATTAAATTAGAAATTCATTATAGTTTACAATTATTATAAACTCAAATTATAATTTACAAATTTACTTTATTGTGGTTATAACCTGCTCTCAACTCTATAACTCTAAAACATGAACCTTGACCAACAAGGCCGCTGCTATATATATATATATATATATATATATATATATATATATATATATATATATATATATATATATATATATATATATATATATATATCAACTTGTTTCTCTGCGCAGCGGCCTTGTTGGTCAAGGTATATATATATATATATATATATATATATATATATATATATATATATATATATATATATACATATATATATATATATATATATATATATATATATATATATATATATATATATATATATATATATATATATATACCTTAAGATACAAGTGAAACATCAGGAAAAACATATATATATATATATATATATATATATATATATATATATATATATATATATATATATATATATATATATATATACATATATATATATATATATATATATATATATATATATATATATATATATATATATATATATATATATATATATATATATATATATATATATATATATACCTTAAGATACAAGTGAAACATCAGGAAAAACATATATATATATATATATATATATATATATATATATATATATATATATATATATATATATATATATATATATATATATATATATATATATATATATATATATATATATATATATATATATATATATATATATATATATATATATATATATATATATATATATATATATATATATATATATATATACATATATACATATATAAGAGTGATTCACATTGTAATATAAAAAATTTGTCACAAAAAATATTCTTCTCAAGGTTGCCTGTGTTCCTTTATTGCCTCGGATCATGTGTGCCAAAAATAAAACTAGAAGCAACTTTAAGGGTTGCCATGTTTTATAAGATAAATTACCCAAATGTTAGGAATTATATTGCAAGAATATTATTATACTAAATTATATATTTTTAAACTAGTAAGCATAGTCTACATTTTACAATACATATTATATACAATTTTTCATATTTTTCACTAAGCCAGCCAATTTGCCTAATCCCATTTAATCATCTGTAAAATATATTTTGAATAATCTTTTATGTTTAACATGTTGCTTTCTGTTCACCTTTGAAATAATAATATGGCAACTACTAGATCTTCCACTCGTTATGTGGCTTGTTGGTAAACCTACATAAATTCTGTGGAATGACTTTCTTCAAGAGATAATGTTCTTCGAAGGTTGCTTTTCCATCATTTAGAAGAGAAAAAGTAGTGGAAAAAAATATTCAGGCAACAATTGAAGCAGTTCTTGTTATGTGAGAGAAAGGAAGAATACCAACTCAAAGAATTGATAATGCAATACACTTTATAACAATTATCTGTTGTTAGAAAAACACAGAGGATCAAAATTGGACAGCTGTCAAGTAAAAGAAGGAATTTTCAGGCTGAACTTGAAGAAATTTTAATATATCAACTAAAAATCCATCATAAGTTATAAAAACAATGAAGATAAAGTATTCTTACTCCAACAGCAAAAAGATTTGTTTTGTTGCAGGAACTGATTGGAACTTAATACCATGGAAAAGGAAAGCATGGAAACAAGTCCAAGAAACTAAAACGGAAATGAGACATCAAAGCAGTAAAGCTAAATTGATGGTAAAAACTCAACTTATTCCTTCGTTATCAGCAGTTGACATTACGAGTGCAAGTAGCTCATGTTCCTCGGATGATGGTGAATATCAGATCCCTTCTACTTCCAACACTTTTAACAAAAAAGAAGATAAAAGTTCTACCAGATGTTGTATCATCTTTTGATTGGGTTAATGTTTCTGATTGCCGAGCACTTTTCATGGTTGAAACAGTGGATCAGGCTTTTGGTCACTCAGTAAAATATTTATCATTGTTGTACAGCACAATCAGCAGAACAAAGCAATTGGTTTGTGAAGTGGTGACTACGGTTGAGAAGGTCAATTTCTCTCCTAATGATCCACTTCTTTTGTATTGGTATGGAAAGGTTTTACCTGATATCACTACTAATCAACAAAAAGTGCGTAGAACTACCAAACTTGTGATTGGTGGTGAGATTGATGGGCATTCCAAAGATTGGTTAAGCTACGGGTGCGCGACAGGCTGATGCTTGTATGAAGGCTCTTGAAGATTGGAAATTGATTAAACATGTTCGGAAACTAGTTTTAAATACTACATCATCCAACACTGGGTTGAACATTGGTAAATACAAAATATTAGAGCGGAATCTTAACCATAATTATTTAGCATGCAGGCACCATGAGTTTGAAGTCATACTTTTCACCATTTTTACAACTGCATTTGGAACCAGTATAGGAACTCAGGTGGGACTTTTTAAACGTTTTGAGAAACAATGGCCAGCGATCAACAAAGAGCTGCTCTCTACAAGGAATGAAGAACTTTTAAACTGTGATTTTCTTATCAAACTCTGTGAGGAAATGTTAGTATAGTATTGTGAAGCAATTAAAGGTTATCAACCCAGGAATGATTACTTAGAAATCTTGAACTACTTTAGGATCAACTAATGTAGGATCAACTACAATATTGGAGTTTAATGTAAAGTTTTGGGCTTCAGGTGCAATGTACAATGCACGTTTGATCTTGAAATAAAGCACAATGATTGTCAAAATGAAGGTCATCAAAGATTGTACAGAACGAGGCATAATATCCTTTAACAAAAGTTGGTGAAATTGATAACTGTTGATAATAGATAACTGAGATTTGGTTACCTAGTACATAGTAGTAGTTTTTAGTACACAAAAAATACTGCACTAATTATTTATTTAGCAGTATTGTTTTTAAACAATAAACATTGACAGTCCACATAATATTAGCTGAATAAAAAATAAATACAAAATAATAAATTAATTTTTTTTTTTACTTTATACTAAAAAAAAGCATGGTAACCCCTAAATATTATTCCATTTGCTTTCAAGTTTATATAGAACAAGAGCAAGCTTGATGACAACCAAAGTTTTGAACCTAAAAATCTTGAATCACCCTATATATATATATATATATATATATATATATATATATATATATATATATATATATATATATATATATATATATATATATATATATATATATATATATATATATATATATATATATATATATATATATATATATATATATATATATATATATATATATATATATATATATATATATATATATATATATATATATATATATATATATATATATATATATATATATATATATATATATATATATATATATATATATATATATATATATATATATATATATAACAAAGCTTGTTTTCTTTTTAAGAAAAAATTATACTATATAATAATTAACAAAACATGGTTGTTTAAAAGTTAAATTACTTGATTATGTAATAAAGTATACCATTTCTGTATCTCTTTTAGTGTCATCTTTTTTTTTAATTTTTTTTTTCCAAAACCATCGTTTGCCACCATTACAACAATTGCTTTCTATCTAAAAGAAATTATTCACCATGATATTTTTTTCTTGAATTTGTATTAAATTGTTTTAAAATAAAAAAGTAAAAATGGTGCTGATTGGACACTTTTTGAGAGTTGTTAAAAAAACATAATAGATAAACCACTCAAAAAAGAGGTTTGCTAAAAGTCTTTAATAAATTTCATTCTTCTTAGTGTTTTTGTTTTATTTTTAATCAAGTATTTTTGTAGAAAGGTTTTCAGTAAAATATAAAGGGGCACAATGAGTTACAGTTATAATTTCAATTTTTTAGGCAATGATATCATCTATTAGCGTAATATTATTTATTGGTTTTTATGATTACTTTCTAACAAAGTTGTTAGTCCTAGGCCTTGGCCTTGCCTTAAGGTTAAAAATTAGGTCCTTGACCTTGGCCTTGCAACTCTTGGCCTTGACCTTGGCCTTGGAACTTGTGGCCTTGGCCTTGGATCATGTGGTCTTGGCCTTGGAACATTTGGCTTTGACCATGGCCTTGGCCTTGGTATTGGCCTTGGAGCATGTGGCCTTGGCCTTGCTATATTTGGCCTTATTAATAACTCTGCTTTCTAAATTTGAAATTAAGTTGTTATAATTTGTGTCATTAAGTAGTACCACCTAATAATACGCATATAACTCAATAATGCATATAACTCTTATAACACAGTTTAGAGAAAGAGAATCCTACAATGAATAAGCTTTTACAATCTGTAGGAATTAATATAGGAACAAACTAAAAGAAGTTTAAAATTTAAAAAACTTTTTAAAACAAATTTAAAATTAAAAAAAACTTGTTTTATAGAGCTAAATGAAAACAAATATAAATATTTACAATCCGTAGGAACTAATGTAGGAACAAACCAAAAAGTTTTGTCAAGGTAGGTAAAAGTATTAGTATAGGAAATTCAGAAAAATTTAGGGAGATTTATGATACAACTGAAAGAACCTTTCAATGAAAAAAAAGAGCATAATAAAAATGAAAAGTATTAAAATAATCAGAAAAGTTGATTATCATAGCATTAGCTCATAAGTATTAGCGAAAAAAACTAGAAAGCAAAAAGAAGAAGATTAAGAAATCATACTCAGAACACTGGTAAATATCAAACTCTGAAAAAAGTTTACTTTGAAGCAATCCATACAAATCATAAAGCATTTTTAATTTTTAAAATAATGCACAAAGTAAGCCAAATGTTTTATTACTGAACATAGTTATAGCGAATCAGTAAAACTTAAATCGAAAAATTATTTTATAAAATTCTCATCTTCGATAACCTAAATTAAGTTTTAACTAAGGTTTCAAATGAAATGCTTGGACCGTTATTATTTTTGATGTTTATTAATGATTTGTGTGATTCCCTTCAGAATATAAAAAAACTTTATGCTAATGATACAAAAATCTAATCAACAGTTGAAAATACAAAAATTAAACATTCAAGCCAATTTGAATGTTGTTTAGTCAAAAAAATGATTATTTTCCTTTAATATTAACAAATGTCTTGTGATACATCATGGAACAAAAATTGAGAATCATTTTTATCTAACATATAGGAGAGAACTTTTAAAGGTTATGATAGAGGTGGATTTGGGATTAAAATTTACGAATGATCTTAAGTGGAAACAACAGGTTAAAAAATTATCGTTAAAAGCAAATTTAATCTTAGGTCAAATAAAAAAAACTTTTACACATTACAACAAATACATTCTTAATCTGCTATACAAAGTACTTGTGCGACCACATATTGAATTCGCTTTGGTCTTCAAATATAAAAAAAAATACTATTAAAAAGTGAAAGATATAGATATATATATAAGGAATAGATAAAGTTGAGCTTATTAATCCACCGTTGCTTAAAAATTAAAATACCAGAGGTCACTTGTTTCGATATGACAGAGAAATTATTAATAGTGGAGTTCGACACTTCTTAACAAATAGAGATGCACCATTATAGAATTCATTGTCAGATGAAGCATTTGACACAAAATCTTAGAACAAATTAAAAAACCTTTATGATAGACTACTAAAGTAAAAAGTCTAAACTAATTAAAGTGTATTTAAGTAAACTTTAATTAAAACACGAAAAGGCTGTCAAAGTGTGGAATTCACTCTTGCTAATGTTTCCATTAGCTACAGCATTAAATTATAATATAATACAATAAATTAAAATAAATGATAGCTTAGGCTTTATATGAAATAAAATAATTTAATTTTTAAATACAATGTATGCTTGTGTTTTAAAAAAAAAAATTGAATTTTTTGTTACTTACGCAAAAATCAAGACTTTTATAAAGTCTCTTTTTGAATGTTTTTAGGATTTTGCTCAGTCGGTTTGCTTCAAATTGTTTTGAATAAAATTAAAAAACACGATTGTAGATCAATAGACCTAGAACTTTTTCAAAGAGTTAAACTTCCTAAAAAACATCTTAATCAAAGATTTAATGCTTTAATGTCTTTGCAATAGTTAACACCAAGCATAGTCCTCACTTATAAATAGCATTCAAGAACTTGAGATTTCACAGGTCTGTAAAATTATAGCAAAAGTTAGGGTTCCATAATATAAAAAAAAATGTAAAAAAAGCATTGAATTTTTGGGAAAATTCAACACTTTTTGAAAGCTGATTTGCCATTTTTTTTCTTGTGGGCACAAGGCTTTTAAAACACCTATTAAATACTAGAATAAACAACAATTATATAAAACACGTCTTATGTCCGCCAAATTTAATAGACAGGCATATGCAAAGGTATTTGTTAAAAATTAAAATAAAAAATCAAATCAAGCAATATTCGAAGAAGTGACAAACTTTTGTTGTTTGAAAAGTATGCAAATATATTTTGAAAAATGAACTTTTGCTCTCATAATTCTAATAAATAAATAAGCAATATTAGAAATGAAATTTTATCTATTGCTAATTTGAAGAAATAAAAGAAAATCTGAAAAAGAAATCTTAAAAGATCTATAATTTTTTTTCCTGCAAAATGTAAATATGCTGGTCTATGAGGTATACTCTCAGGTGCTTAATACATGGAAGGGGACCTTTATTAATTTTTGCAACCACTTGAGGCTTATTAGGCCCCTCCCCCATTTTTTGTTTAATAATTTTTATTTGTTATCAACAAAGAAAAACTAACATTTTGTTATCAACAAAGTTGATGACAATCTAACTAGAAACTTTGAAATTAAATCTAACTGTAAAACTAACAAATTGTTTTCAACAATAAAAAAAACTACTGTTTTGCATCTCAAAACTAAAAATAAAAACTTTAAATACAAATAATCATTATAAATTATAAACTTGCTGATAAAAATAGAACCTAAATTTCCCAATGACTATTTATGCAATTCCCCCCTTTCCCCTAGTTAAATAGATCTGGACAAAAACCTTACCTTTTTATTGCTACTCCACTTTGGGTGGGTTGAGCATAAAAGTACTCTTAGGGTTATTAGTCATCAAAACAAATTTTATATGTAGTTGTGTTAAATTAATGGAAAAGTACTTTATGCAAAGCCACTTTACAAAGTATTACAATTTGAAAATGTAGGTTCTTTAGGTGGTGCAAGGTTGTTGTAACCACATTGTTGCATTTGTATACCAAACTTTTGATTGTAAAACTTTAAACATAAACATTTTTGAAAATCAAAATTTGTACTGATGTTTTTCAGACCTAGTTTACATCTTTCATGTGAATCTAGGAACTATAAAGAGATTTTGATTTTTAACTTAAATTTGAGAAGTCTGCTTAGATAAACATTAATATTTTTTAAATCTAAATAAAACATCATGCTTAAACTTTTAAATAATTTATAAAGCAAGGGCAGGTTTATAAGGAAAGGGCCCCACTTTAGATATTTCGGAATTTTTTTTTTTGTAAATTTATATACTCAACAAAGCATGTTGTTTAAAAACGGAAGTAAATTAGAGAGATGGTTTAAAATTGATAAGAAATTTTAATAAAATTGTGTGGTGCGATAAAAAATTGGTCTGTTGAAATTATGACATAACATCAATATATGACATAACTTCGTAGATATATAGATAAGACAGTGTATAACTAATACTCTTAAAAAAATTTATGTTTGGAGTGTTTGCTTGCTCACAAACTATTAAGCCTGAAAATCGCCCCTACTTTGCTAGGTCTACCAAATCAAAAAGTTGTACCCCACCCCCAGGGCAGACAACATAGGTTTTGGAGTGAAGGGGCACAATCATCAATTTCTCAAAAAAGTCCTCTATATCTCGAATTTAAAAAAAAAAAATGTTTAAAAAAAGTAAAAAAAAGTCCTTTTGAATGGGGGGGGGGGGTGAGACAATGTCACCTTGACCCTTACCCCCCCGTGCGGCCAACCCTGCCTCCTTCTTACTTCCCAAATAATCTGAATTTACCAAATCAAAAAAATCTAAAAATCTCCCCCTCTTACTAGATGGTCTTGTACCGCATCTGTTGCAAAGATTTAGGAAAGGTTTTGCAGGTTACATTTTATTACATATAAAAAAATCAATTGAATATTAAAGCTATATTTGAAAAGATAAGAAAAAAGAATTTATTTGCTTGCCTACTGAACAATAATCTTTTGCACAGGTACATAGTATGTACCAATAATATGTACTACATATAAGTACTACATATACACATAATATGTACTACATATACACATAATATGTACTACATATATGTATGCCCGTACCGTGGTGAGGGTCGTTATGTGCGATCAACCCCTCTTTTCATACAACGTGCCTTGTTTAATTTGACGCCAAAAAATTTTCTAGACTCTTTTCGATGTCAAAATATTTAATCAAAATTTTTATGATAATTATTTGATTTTGATGAATCATTCTCATGAAACAATTTTTAATTTGTTTCACAAACGTAAGGTGTCATTACAAGTCACTGCATTGTGAAATCTTGTAAACGAAAAATGAAAAATAGTCTCTCCAGAGTTTATACTGTAACTACAATTCTCTATTATTACTAATTCACTTTTAAAAGCAATCGACAGAGTTAT